CATCTTATTCCGTTTGGCAAACTTGGTTACGTTAATCTAATTTAAATGTCGAAACACAATAGTAGGCAACCAAGACTGCTCAAATCAGGGTGAAGATCTGATTTTTCTAGTTTAATAAACATGTTTTTAGTAATATCGTAAGCACACTCAAATTTAATGTTTCCTAGTGTATAAGTGATAGGTCTTTCAGATCTGTTTTGGACCTAACATGTAGTAATTAGAAAAAAATAAAAGGAAAAGATTTATAAAAAGAAAAAAAAACAACTGCTCTTATCAGGGTGAGGCTGTTAACTAACCGACTAAATTTTCAGGTGTCGCAAGAACTTTTTTTAAAATACTGACATCCAAAGATATCTATTTTGCCACGATCAGACAATTCCGTCACAGACAATTCAGTCAATTTCGAACGCAGACAGACAGTTCATCCAAAATGACCAAAGACCAAAGACTATTTAGACAATTTTAACGTTTTAAACGTTCGCACAGAAATTTTTTACATGCGGCAAAATATGAAAGATTTAATTGATTTGTTTCAATTGCACATGACACATATGATTGTAACCAAATCAAAGATTCTTTAACGTCATAAAATCATATACGATTCCAAATTCAGACTAGTGGCTTAGAAATAAAACTCACACAGAAATTAAAACTTGATAACTTCACAGAAAACCAGACCAAAAAAAAAGAGTTTTTGCAGGCGGTCTAAAAGGATATCAGTTAAAAGGCTAACCAAATCCACTGGATACACAGTTACGTCGATTTTCTTATCCTGTAAGCAGGGAGGGTGCAACCGCTCATGAATTAATTTGGGTAGGTAGTTGAAACCTGAACAGAAACTAAAATTTTTTTAAAAGGTTAACTATTTGTGATTAGAAGATGGTCCAACCAAACGACAACGACGTGAAACAATAAAAAAAATGGTCTGACTAAAAATACTAACCTAAAACTAATTACTTTGTCCTTTTTTGAAATTGCAAGATAAAAGAATAAAACACTAGAGAGTTTTTTTGCCAAAAAAAAACAGGGCAATTATTTTCCTCTATCGTTTTTTATTGTTTTCAAATTTTTCCACTTTCAAGTTTTGATTGCCTTGTCTACGTCTCGGGTTTGTGATTGCCAGAGCATCTGATCCTATTCATTTGCTTCTTGTTTGATTCAAAATCCTGTATATTGCAGTACTTTTTCTTCTTAATTGGGGGAAAGAGTGCTCTTCAATTTAAAATTAGAATTTGGTTCGATACGTGCTCAACCCGATTTGAACAGGAACGGAATGAGATTAAAATAAACAGCAAGACTGCTCGTGAGTTAGGGCAAAACCCTGAATGCTCCGACTGCAGTTCGAGGCGACTACATTTTTTTGTTCAAAAAATTGATTACAAAAATCAAATAAAGAAAAATTCCTGAGTTTATCCCCCACCCGCTAATGAGGACAAGAAAGGGATGTCTGCGGCCTCATGGAATTGATTGCCTAAATTTGGTTTGGGACGCATTAATGCGCCGCTTATGTAGGGTATAGGGACGCAAAATTATAATGCTTTAGTTATATAATATCGCCCAAATTATCCACTTTCAAACCCATTAAACTATCAGTGGTCAAAGTCAGTTTTGTATTTGATATCGTTCAAGTGGAAAAAGTGATTGAAGAAGTTCTTTTAAAAAAGCGAAAACTGACTAGGTAAATAAAAAACCGGCCCAAACTTGATTATTCCGCTTTCTTCAAAAGTCAGAAAATTAATATCAATAGAAACAATAAGACTGCTTGTTTTAAAAAGAAGTTTTGAAAGTTTTGACTGTTTTTTAAAAACAATTGATTAGGCTTTTTTACAAAAATGGTGGAGTTAAAAAAATTATTCAAAAGTTACAAAGTTTTACATCTAGCATAAAGTAAGAAAAAAAACCGAACATCATGCTAGAAATTATATAAGAACAATCCCTACGACTGATTATATCTCTGCTTACACCTTAATAGCACGAAGTTTATTGCGTGTTAATTATCCCAAGTTGGCTGAAGTTGCAATTCTCAAACACCCATAATTTTACGAAGTATAAAATAACCCATCAAAAACTGGCTAGCTAAGCAGTCGAAATATGTCTGGAGGAAAAACCTTTTTTGTATAAATTTTTAGTCAATATCATCAAAAGCAGAAAAATTAGTGATGTAGGAATGTCTTATTTGTGATATGTAATTTGCGAAAGAAAGTATAAAAAAAAACTTTCCCCGATACACAATGTCCGAAAAAAATGAAATGTTTCACATGGAGAAACATTCAATGAGGCAAATATATCAGTCATACGAATTCGAAACAGTTCCTGAGTTTTATTACAATGGCGATACTTGTGTTGAATTTGATTTTTTTCTCATAATAACATAAAACCATTGAGAAAATTGTTTTACAAAACTTCTTAAATGCTGATTGCGTGGGCACAAATGTTGATGATACTGCAGGTTCCTTAAATTTTAAACTGACTAATTCAACCCGTTTTTTTCTTATCCTTTCGCTACAGCCAATAAAATGAAAAGAATAGTCAGCAAAAAGTGTGGTAAGACTTGCAGTTTTTTCAACAAAGTTTTTGAACAATTTTTTTACCCAAAATTTTCAGAAAGTTATGAATCGGTCGAATGGGACGTCACTAAATCCATTTTTTACTCAGGTTATAAAGCCCGGTGAAATGTTTTAATCGACCATGTTATTGAAAATTAACCTAAAATTTTTTGAAATCAAAACAAAAAAATCTAGAACTCTTGGGTTTAAAACTCCCGGTTTTAAAAAAAATTTGGGTAATTATGATTGTAACGAAGTCAAATGAAATTTTAAAATGAAATTGCACAATGAATCTATAAGTCATAAATATGAAATTATTACAGATGCCTATCTCTCGTAACGTAATCAGAATTAATTAGTTATGCTTGGTTAGGCCTGAAAAAGCAACTATATTGTTATGTGCACAAAAAATGCAGTTTCCTAGCTCTTAAGTTTGCCAATTTTTCCCATCGCAGTGACCCGTCTTTTTTTGCTAAGTTAGTGATCAAATCCAACATCAGAAACAAAATAATCGGACAAAATGACAATTTTTTTTCCACCAAAAAGCTATTCTCAAAACTTTTGTGAAAACATTTTCTATTAGTAAAAAAACTTTTTCGGTGACATTGAAAAAATTTGGAAAAAACTTGACTATTTATTTGCTCATTAAATTGCTCTAAATTGTTTTATTACAAAATACGAAACGTTTCTTGGATATATCTCAAGATCTTGAAGATTCTCCGAAATCTTGAAGAATCTTATAAATCTTTTCAAGATTGCACCAAAATCAAAATCTTCTGCTGAGCTGCTGGAACCATTTTACGGGTTTTGTAGGACGTTTTCTTGTAATTTTGAAGCTTATGTACCTTCGAAAATACAAGAAGCAATTATAGTTTTTTTGTTATCTTTGATAAATCTGTAAGAACCTTCAACATTTTGACAAGATTCACAAGATAACTGGACTTGGGCATCCATGTGAAATTTGCGATTTGTGGTCAGCGAGGTAAGAGTACGATTTTAGTTAGCGATTTCTGAAACTTGCTGCTAGAGTTATAGATTGTAAAATATAAGACATATTCTTGTGAGTGAAACATACGATTTGTGGTTAGCAACTCTCCTAGAGACACTTGCCTAATGCATCACTACAATGATGGTTTTATCTTGAGCTAAAATTTACCCTAGGACATGAAAAAAAAATAGTGAAAAACCTTGCGGGAAAATTTGTTGAAACTTTGTGCAATCCTGATGAGCCATACCGCGTTTTTGCGCGACTTATGTATAACCTCGGTATGACCAAAGATTTTCGGTTGTGAATTAATCAAATGCGCGACCACCAGTGTGTAAAATTTATTTGGTTTTGAAGATTTAAATTAATTTCTAACTTGGAAACAGAGCAAAATATATGCTCCGAAAAAATATTTGCTCCGGAAAACTAAAAAACTACAGGGAACCCTTTAACTTTCAAGATCTAGGGGTTCCAGCGGCAAAAAAAAGTAATTTTTATCAAAACAATCTTCTAATAACAGTTTTCAGATTAACAGTTTCTGACCAGATTCGGTAAGAAAATGAAAGCAAATTAGAAGACTGCCGCGAAAATTGAAATGCACTCAGTTTTAGTTTAGAAAGTCGAACCATAGGTCGAGCACAAACAAAAGATAGGTCGAAAACATACTCGATTTTGGTCGAGAAAGTAAAAACCTAGGTCGAGAGAGTAGAAACATACCAATTTTTGGTCGAAAAACTCGAAACATATGTATGCGGGATCAAACAAATGAACTTTTTAACGGTCGAGACTGTTGAGAAAGTGGAAACATCGAATTTTGGTCGAAACATATCTAAACTGGGTCGAACAAAATCAAACATTTTTTTGTAAAGTAAAGAAATTCGAAACATATCAAACTTTGGCCGAGAAATCAAGACACCAAAATTTGGTTGAGAAAAGTCGAAACACAAAATTTGGTCAAGACGGTCGAAACATACCAATTTTTGGTTGCGACAGTCGAAACATACATCGAGCACCTCAACCTGGGTGATTTGAGGCTTCTCAATTGGCTGGATTATTTAACATTGGATGCTCTTACGTATATAATTTAAGTTGTCACTGTTTTAACTATGGGAAGTCGAATTATTTCCTACTTAATTAATTATCTTATATTTCAATTTCTAGCTCGTATTCATAACTATCAGAAATCAAACTGATTATTAATTGGAAGTGCCAGTTGCAAACAGAATTTTTGTTCAGTGTCATTCTTCATTTTTTCTACTCATACGTTTTAGTTACAAACAGATAAAAATCCAATTCATACCACCAAAATTGTTTCGGTTAGTAAGTTTATTTAAATGGTAAGTTTTTTTAAAACAACTATATTGATTTTTCATGTATAACTATTTGTTAGACTTGAAACAGAATGCTCAAACAAAAACCGTGTTTTCAAGCATGTGTTTCATCATTTTTTCCACTTGTGTGAAGTTCACTGTATTCCAGATTTAAGTATTTAAATGAAACATTTTCCATCTAAAAATATCAATTGCTCATTTTCAATCCACTATTTAGTCGTTTATTGACCTAATTGAGTTTAGAGAAAATCTGAGCGATTGTAAAGTTCTCAGATAGGTTGTTGAGAGCGAACTTTGAATGATATTATGGATCCATTTTGAGCTGCGGTATCTACTCGAAATAAAACGCCAATGGAAACAGAAAACGGCGCTGCTGATGAAGCTTCTCAACTTGGCCAAGAACTATTGCCATTAAAATGCAAAAAGGAAAACTTTTCGTCAGCGTCGACTGGAAACTTAGATTCTCTTGTCGGCATCGAAGAAGCTCTCGAGTATTCGGGTTTCTCTTTTCGCCATGTATTAATACTCTCGGCTGTCGGATTAGTGCTTCTTTCGCTGTTCGCTCAAATTGAGATGATTGGACTTTTAGCAACTGAATTGTTATGCGAGTTCAATCTCAGTCCAGTGCAGGAAGCATTTCTGACGTCAGCATTTTTCACTGGAATGATTTTCGGAGCACTTTTGTGGGGTCATCTATCTGACAAATATGGTAATGAAATTTTCAAATTTTTTCACGTTTTAAACATTGAAACGCAAAAAGTAGAACTCAAAACACGAGAATAGCATCATATGCCCACTATGATCATTTTTATATGAACTTTCATAGATTAAGAAATTGAGCATCAATTTCTGATGTTCAAATTTGAAAAATGGACAAGACTGAAAAATGGGCAAAGCCCTGAATGTTCCCTTCCGAATTCTCCTTGAGGCCAATTAAAAACTTTTATCAATAAAGCCAATTGTCGTTTTTTTTCTTCAACTTATCCTCCACACACTAATGTAAACTACGAAAGGATATATTGATTGTAACAGATTTCCTAATGATAGCCACAATAATTTTGAAAACCCTATATCTTTAACAAAAATTTCATAGGTGAAATGTATTTTTCAATTTTCAGGTAACAAACTCTTTCAGATGGCATAAAAACTTCCAGCAGAAACAGAGGCATAGTTGAAAACTCGAAAAATGACTGTTTAAAAAGCCACCCAAAGTATAAATTTTCCGCTTTTTTTTTTCGAAAACCGGAATTAAAATTTAACATAAAGAGTTTGAACGGCTGTCGGTTGGTTATCCTCTGCTCTAACTGCGCCGCTGGATGATTCCACTAAGAGACCTAAGCCACTTAGATGTTACGATCAAAAGCGTCAAAATTCTGCTCACACATTTAATGCATGTTTCTCAGCAGTATTTTTCCGACCTTCGAAGAAGTCGAGGAGTATATATGCTTGGGTATTTTTGTTCCGGCTACCTTTTAAGGTCTACAGAGTAGTGTTCGCTGCTAAAAAAAATTGAGGCAAAGCATAAATTGAGATTTTTCAAAAGTCATCCCCACACGCTGTTTCAAGTGCAAAATGATATGTTTCGCGTAGAGTAGTTTATTCAGTAGAAGAAATAGCATGCTTCAATTTAGTTTGAAACAATTTTTGAAGCCGCGATAAATATCTACTTACTCGTTAATAGCATTTATCCTAAATTGACCAAACAGGCAATCTTTAGGCCCCATAATTGTACAAAAATTTGCAGAAGGTGAATGTTTTTTTTTTAATTTGAGCACAAGAAAACAATACTTTTTTTGCATGATATAAAAGTACCGTAAAAATTAGCTAATTAAAATTCCCAATGGTTTGATACCCCTTTGTACTATTTTGAGATATCCACTTTTGGCTGACGGAACCTAAAAATTCTCTTAGGGAGCTTTTGGCGCCAAAATATTTAATTTTGAGGGAAAGGGATAGTGCGCGCCAAAAAAACGCAATTTTTGGTCAAAATCAGGTAAATTTCCAATCAACGGCCTGTTTTTTCGAGAAAAAAAAATTGCCTGTGGCGCACAAAATTTAGTCAAAATTGGGTCTGTCTTCATAGTGATTTGGGAGAGCTCAGAAAATCAATTTGTTCAACCTAAACAAAAAAAGGTCGGCAAAATTTTCTACGTTTTTTTGAAAATCGACCCCCACCCCTCGAGAAAATCCTAGATCCGCCTTCATTCGGAATATTAAATTTATTTGCGGCGATACGAGCATTTAAACTTTAAATCAAATTTTTTGTATTTTCCTTATAACTTTTGGTTTTTTCAGTTCATGAGAACCATTTTCAATATGCACTTTCTCCATCCCCGAAATTTTTTAATCCTCTGGAGTAATTATCATTACTTTATTACTTTCTTTGACAGGCCGCAAAAGAGTAATCCAGCTGTGTTCGCTATTCGCCAGCATAACAGTTCTAGCCAGTAGTGTCACACAGTCGTTCACAGACACTTATTTGCTCCGCATTCTGGTCGGAATGTCAATGGGCGGGTTCCATGTTTGCTACACATACGCAACTGAAATTGTCGGGTCAACTCACAGGGCAAAAGCTTGTCTAATTTTGTTCATTTTCCAGTACCTCGGAGCTGTTTATGGAGCTGCAATTGGGTTAATAACTGTTACAGAAAACAATTTAGGCTGGCGGTATTACGTGCTAAAATCTTCGCTTCCGATCGTTCTCGGCTTAGTTTCGGTAACAAGTATATGTCCCGAAAGTCCGAGGTTTCTACTCGTTAAAGGCGAAACAGATAAAGCTACCAAAGTTGTCAAAATATTAAGCTCAAAGCCAAATTCTGACTTGAAATTAGCATCAATTATGAAATCAATTGGTGATATAGGATCATGGAAAGACCTAATCGCGACGCCATCTGACAAGATGCTCCTAGGAGTTTTGTCTTCGTTGATATTTCTGATACGATTCTTCAATATTGGAGTTGCTCTTTTGTTTTATGAGAACTTGCAAAATCCTTACGCTTCAGATTGTAATGTTTTAGTTGAGACTTACAAAGAATCTGGAGGTTGCGACCGTCTGAAGAAAAACGATTACTCTCTTGATATTTTATTCAGTTCTTCTGGGATATTTGGAGCATTATTTTATTATTTTCTGGCTGATTACTTCGGCCGGCGAAAAGCAATGGCAAGATCGTTATCCTTTTCGACTCTTTGCATGTCGACTTTCTATTTCTGCATGCCAAATTATTCACGGACAATTTGTAGTTTAGTCGTGAAAAGTTTTTGTTTCACGACTGAACTTGTGTTTAACCTTTACATTAATGAAGTTTACCCTACGTACTCACGATCAGCGGCTTCTGGCTTTACAGACTGTTTTTCGAGACTTGGGCTTGCGTTATCGCCCCTTATTTCCCAATATTTGGCAAAAGAGAGCTACCCATCGTCCGTTAGTGTTTACATTGCTTCAGGTGTTTTGGGAGTGGTGATTATTCGGTCTTTGAAGACAGAAACAAGAGCTCAACTCCAGGATGACGTCTGGAAAAAAGCTGAGAAGAAATAGATGCTACAATAATTTCGGAGTAGTAACAGAATTGTGAAAACATATGCGACCACTATGACCATATGATCCAATTTTGAATTGCGTATCTCATGAGCTTTTATATAAAAGTACACTCAGAAAGATAACCCGGTACCGATCAAAATTTAGCTAAATCTAGGCTGTTTCTAGCTAGAAAAATTCTCTTACTGGGTATCGAACTCACGACCTCCCTTTGTTTGACCTGATAGTTTGTTTGCTGCGTGACCCGATAGTTTATGATAGTTTTAACAACCTAATGAATAGCAAAACTTGTTATAACAAGTGTTAATTTGCATTGTATTGCTACGGCTATTATGCATATCTCACATTGTGCTATAGTCATAAGCATGTTTATCTCGTTGCGGTTCTGGTTATTTCTTCTCAGAAATTGTATATTTCTAAACTAAGAAAGAAATAGATCAATTCTGTACAGAAAATACTAAAACTTCAGCTAGGTAATCTATATAACATTTCTAACTAGAAAAACAGCCTTCGCTAGCTACGATAAGGTTATCAGAACGTTGCCCTATCACTTGTAGAACTTTATGTGAATTTAAGTTTTCAGTTTTAAAAAAAATTAAATTCAGTTTAAAGAACAGAAGAATGGGAACGTTCGGATATTCGGGAGCTTCGCTCTACGGAGTTTTTTGGGTTACGTTTTTTTTCTAGAATTTTCACCAGATGAAAATGTTTTTTTTTCATTACGAGGCCAAACTGTGCACTGGATAGGAGCACAGTTTTGTGTCTGTATGTTCCTGGATTCCAGAGACAAGTCTTTAAACATACGAAAATTTTGTCAGAGCGATCAAAGGAAAGTAAAGAACAAAAGAAGAACAAATAAGGGAGCGTCCTTGTTGCGTAATCCGCTTACAATGCACAAAATGCACAGCTGGGCCTTGTAATGTTGCAGAAAAAGAAAATGGATAGAAACAAAAACTGAACAACTTAATTAATGATCCGGAGTTTATGATTCATAGATGCCCCTGTGGTTTTGAAATCTTGCCCCAGGGATGTAGCAACTTGCATGCGTTCTGCTTAGCAGGCGCGATTAAAATAGTTACTCACTTTAATGCGGGACGCATCAGTTTGAGTTTTAGTTGTTACGTATTGCATTTCATAAATTTTTAAAATTCAGATTTAGATTTTATTTGAATTATATTTTCTCGATTTTTTTTATTTCAGTTTTAAGTTCTCAATTGATGGCAAGTACTTTAAATTTTTGCGTATATTCTTTTTTTACCACAACCACCATTCGCTTTACGTGTGTGTAATAAACATGTGGTTGGTGATTAAACATGGGATAGGGTCGAATGAAGTATTCAACTTTGAACTTTTTTGCTTTTTAAAACTGTAAAAGACATGGCATAGCGTTTTTACAAAATTCCCAAATTGTCTGCAAAATTATCAATTTTTAATCCAAAAAAAACAGAATGTAATCGATTCTAAGCAATTTTAATGGATTTTTTTTTTTCAAAATTATTCAGTTTAATCGATTATCTTGGCAAAAATTATTGGTTATGATGCCAAAAAAATGCTCAAAATTAATCAATTATAGTGGCAATATAATCATTTTTTGGCTGAATTGCATATTTCTAATAAATTATAATCGATGATTTTGTCTCGGAGGTCCATTTTATTCATTTAAATTTCATAGGCGCTTGGTGCGGGTATCAAGGCTCAGTGTGATTATATAAGGAAACATCTAAATACCCGTTTAATTCAATTTCCTTCACTACGCTTGTGTTTTCTCACACTGAAACCCAAAATAGGCAGTCAAAAACAGATTTATTAGGAGACTGTTTTTTTGGACGAACACTATTTTAGGCAAAAAAAAGTATACATATTATGGATAATTCAGACGAAATTAGCTATCAGTTGAAAAACAAACCCTTGCGATAAAACTTGTCTATTGTCTATCAAACAAAGAAAATCAAATATGTATGATACGGGATATTTAGACATATACCAAAATCATAAAACACGCAATTTGATTTAAAAAATATATCGAAAGTACGACAAAATAAGCCAATTTTTAACGATAAGTTCGAATTGTTATTACCACAGACTCGTAAGAAAAACAGAGCGTTTCTAGATTTGCTTTAAGCATTTGCCAAACTCACCAGAGGATCGTTTCTCTGTATTTGTTCTACAAACTTTGTGTTTTGAAAACAGAAACAGTTTTTGGCGGCTGCCGTAGCATACGGCTTTGGGCATTAAGCATTTCTCCACGTATTATGTGATAATCTGGGGGATGACGCAAAATCACTTCAGCTCAGGATTGTGTTTATCTCATTGTCGTAGACTACTTTAATTTTCTGGGTCAATTTGGGTTGATATTATTTTTTAAAATCATTTTCGGTTGATCTCAAAATAAAATCGGGTTCAGGCTCACTCATTTTTCGAACAATTTTTTGGTTGAGTCGTCAGTTATTATTGTGCGGCGACAATACGTTAACAAGACTGCTCGTATCAGGGCAAAGCCCTGAATGTTTCGACTGCCTTTTAAGGTCTATAGAGCAGTAATAACATGGAAAATTTAAATGTAATAAAGTAAAACTAAAAAACTTTTTCTAAAAAGTTTAAGATTTTTTGTGAAAACCATATTAAGTGCAAAGTGATAGATTTTGCTCCTATTAACAAATCAAATATGGCATATAAGCTTCCTTGAACCAATTTGGAACAATTTCTAAGACGAATTAAATCTCGCTTTCGCATTAATAGCGCGAAATATGTCGCGCGTTAATTGTCCCAAATTGGCCAAAATGGCCAAAATGGCAATCTTTAGACCCTCTTAACTTTACGAAAAATGATCACAGGTGAAATATCTTTTCAAATTTAAGGACAACAATAGCTTCAAATGATGTTAAAAAAATTTCCGTCAAAAATTGGCTAGTTAAAAAGTCAAAATTTGTCTGAAGAAAAAAAAACCCACCCGGAGCACAATTATTCCGTTACCTTCGTATCAAAATTCAGAACAATTATGTACCAGTTTAAAATTTTTTAATGTTTGTTTATTGTTTCGACTTTCGATTCGAAAGTAACGGAATATTTGTGCTCGGGGTGGGTTTTTTTTTCTTCAGACAAATTTCGACTTTTTAACTAGCCATTTTTGACGGATTTTTTTAATATCATTCAAAAGGTATTGTTGTTTTGAGCTTAAATTTGAAAAGATATTTCAATTGTGATCTTTTTTGGTAAAGTTATGAGGGTTTAAAATTGCCATTTTGACGAATTTGGGACAATTAACGAGCGATATAGTTCGCGCTATTAACGCGTAAGCGGAGATTTAATCCGTCTCATAAATAGTTCCAAATTGGTTGAACGAAGCTTATTTTCCAAAATTGATTTGCTACAAGGAACGAAATCTCACTTTTGTACTTTATATGGCTTGTGGGGGGATGATTTCCATTAAAAATTTCAAATTTAAAAAAAAAAAACAATTTATTTTATTTTGTTTCATTTAATTTTTTTATGTTATTACTGCTGCTCCATAAACCCTAAAAGGCAGTCGGAACATTCAGGGCTTCGCCCTGATACGAGCAGTCTTGTTCTTTTTGTATCTATATCCATTCTTAAGAACTAAAGTGTTTCCACTTCTATGTTTTCACGGCTCAACTCTATATATCTTTTGAATTGAGACAAAACTAAACCCGAGATATATCTACGTACTTGGCGTGAGACGTGATGGGTTAGAAGTACGGTTTTTGTGCAACATCTGTCTGTTTTTGTCTGAAAAACAAAGTTTGCTCTAACGTTGTGAGATTTGCCGAGGTTTTAGAAGGAAAACTTGGTTGTTTGAACAATAAGTAAATTGTTTTAGAGTTGAATAAATTGTTACTTCAATCACTTTATTGCTTGGTTTCGAATAAATACTTGGAATAGGAAGTTTATCCTGAATGAACCTGAGTTTAAGTAGAATAAAGATAATCTAGCAAACAATATAGATATCAGAAGAGAATGAACACGCTCTGCGTGGTATTATGTATAGATTAGCACAATGACCTCGGTTAGTATAATTAACATCAATCTGCAGTGAGACTGCAAAAGAACAAGTAAATAACGAGGTACCGAAGGTCGCCTCACGACATTCCTCGCGGGAGAAAAAATTTTTGAGAAACAACCCAAAATTAGAGAGATAATAAAAACTGCATCCAAACGAGCCAATGATTTATAGCCTTCTATCCCACACAAGTAGCCTACAGTTAATCAGAAAGAACATGATAACATGAAATAGTTTCAATGAGTTTAGTAGAGTTTTATACTTGACATATAGTCAATCCTTTCCACTAGCATCTTTTGCATGAGCGAGAGGGGGAGACGTCGTCGTTGAAGGTCCAGGTGGAAAACGATCCCGAGTGAGGGGTTTTCGTGTTGAGGACGAAGATACTATCACCGTTTCAGAGGGCAAAGTTGGGTCGTCCTCAACTGATTTGATAGAATGTCGCAACGGATCGCCAGAAACTGAGTGGGCTTCTTACTACGATGTGACGTCCGGACTGACTCGGCGTCGTCAACCACTGGTTGAGCGGGTAGAGAAAGCAAAGGGTAGGAGGAGGGCAGCTCTGATGACGCTGAGAGAGATGGAAGAACCAGACCCTGTGGTGACACCATGTCCGGTGAAGAGATATTAATTCCAGTACGAGTAGGAATAACACCAGGAAAATCAGCAAGGGGAGTGGTCGAAGAAGAGGCAGCACAATGTGAAGTCCGCGGTTGAGGCGAAGTTAACGAACCTTCAAGTTGATAGAGGCGGTCGGTAACGAGCAGGTAGCACTCGTTGAAGTGTGGAGCTGCGATGTAGAGTTAGACTGAGGAGCAAACCTGAGCGGAGGTGAGTCACACTGAAGCCTCTGGCATTTTCGTTAGGAGAAGAATCATTAACCACTTGAAGACCACCGTTGAATCCAACTGAGCTTTCGCTGGAATAGTCAACTGTGAGGTCCACCATCGGAGTAGAGAGAGTTGGGTTGTTTGACCGTTGTTCTAGTAGCACAGGCTGAGACCGTGTAGCAGGCCTTTTAACTGCACCCCGAGATGTAGAATTCGAAGCTTGGAGGCGATCACCTAGAGTGTTGGGAGCAACTGAAACGGTAGACCGATAATTAGGCAGATGTGATTTTTCCGGTAAAATTTCCCATTGTCGGTAACATGAGTATGATCCGTAACACAAACAATTTCAAATTTAGTCAGTTTATAAAGCGGTTTCCCCGATTGACGATCAATAATTTTCCTAAAGACTTTAACTCGACTAGGATCAGACATTGGAAGGTTTTCTAATTTACTTGTTTTCGAGAGGCGAAGGGGTTGCAGAGCTGGTGCACACCTGAAGCTAACTTGTGCCCCCGGAGGTGTTACTATTGCTGGGAAGCGTAGAGTGTTGTGATTGAGTCCTGACTTGAGGGAATGAGCGAGGTCCGAATGCCGGGTTGCTAACTCCTTGAGGACCTTTTTTCCCCAATCCGGTGGAAGATTGCGTTTGAATTGCGACCATTATTCACCGGATCCCGAGCGAGTTCCGCCA